AATTATATATAATTACGATTATAATGGATGAATGTTTTATCTGCTTTGCCTTTATTTTTTTCAGAACTCCACAGTACATCTTGTGGGAATCCTGGTGTTCCACCTAAAGCAGTACTAAGCAGCAGCGGGCGTTTTGCAGTAGGAGACAGAGTGCAGTACAGCTGTGTCCCTGGTTATGTCCTAGACGGCCATGCCACACTCACATGCATCACCAACGCTGCAAACACTGCAGTCTGGGACTTCCCTGCTCCAATTTGTCGAGGTATGTATTAAATATATATTTGTTTGTGCCTGAAATGAAGGGTTTTATTCAAATGATTTATTATCTACTAAAAAAATGTTCCATTTTAAATAACATTTATTTCAAAATGTAGTCATTCTGTAACTCTCCCAAATTCCCTTTTAGATGTAAATGTGAAAATTTAGAATAAAACTCTTCATTCATTCCTGTGTATATGGTTATGTGTTAGATCAACAGGAAGACAGACAGACTGCATATGTGTGTTTGCATGCGCATGTTTCGGATATTGATGAAAGCAAACCAAGACCTTCACATACTTTTATGTGTCTGTGTGTGAATGAGAGGGATTTCCATTCCTGTGCGCGTGTGAGAACATACAGTGTGTACATATAGCCTATATCATATTGCATTAATTTCTTGATTTCTATATATTGCAACATCTTTTGCCAAAAAAAAACTGTTAATTTGCTGATGAGTTATCACCCGTACAGTGTAGGTAGATGCAAATTTAGTGATGCATACGCGAAGGAACGACAGAAAATATGCTGAACTTTAGCTTTTAAACACAATATGATAATCATGAATACCACGAGCTGTAAAGTGTGACAAAATACCATAAGTGAGAGCTTAATTTTAATCTTTTATTTTTTTTAGACAAACTTTCAGCGCAAGTCACTGCAGTTTTGTCTTTTGTAATTACATTGGCCGAATGAAACCTCATAAAATGTAGACACATTTTATCTTTATTTTGATTTTAAAAAGCAGCTGTTCCGAGTCAGTAAATGTCACTGCAGCAGATAGCAGCACATGAAAACTTATCAGTGGATCAGGTATCACCAATAAAACACAAAGAAACAAACACAAAGAAACAAAGGGAAACAACAATAAAAAGCCTCTAGTAGCTTCTTTTTTTCAATTGGGTATAAATCTGCTCTTTTGTTCTTGCAAATCAGTGATATGTGAATTGTCCTGTTTACAACCTAACACCTAACCTCTTTGATCTCCACCCTCACTAAAAGTTCGCTTTAACTTACCTCAGAATCTGAAAACTTTTTTTTCTGCTTTTTCTATTTGTTTTGTACGAACTAAAGTAATAAAATATTAATCAGACCTGCAGACTCTTACTCACTGAGCCAGTGACTCAAGGACTATATACGTGATCAGCACCTCTGATGGCATCTGCTGACATTGAATTGGGTAAAACATGCAACAGCTAATATGTCAACAACCTATGATTATGTTACTATGATTTGATCATTTTCGTAAAATTGCAGCTGTCAGTTTTGGTAGACCGCTCTCTCCCAGGCGCACAGCGACAGATAGGAGACTCGTGCTCRAGTGCAGGAATGGCAAACGAGTTTGATAAAGAGAAAACACATTAAAGAATAAACCTATTTGTTTAAAGAAATTCCMCATTGTAGCTTGCTTAACCTGGTTTGCTCTCGTAAGTAACGGCACTGAGGCAGCAAACACCAGTGGTTATGGCATGTTTTTCTGCCCTCTCGATCAGGGTCAAAGGGTAAGTACTCCTTGTTGTACACTAGAGAATAGCCCTGGAATGGCMAAGGGCTCTTTACCTTGAAGAGTTTGACAGAATTTGCATGCAGAAGCTGGGGAATGTTAACTGAAAAAAAAACAAACTCACCAGTTAATGAGATGTCATCTTATAGTCATGAACCCCTTTCACAAAACACTATCAAGCCAAGCCTGAGCTACCCTTTTCCTTTTCATGAAGTGGCAAGATGAGTTTAAATTCAACCTCTTGCCTTTGTGTTTCTGAGCCACCAAGGGAGGAACAGTTAGAGCTGTTTTATTTGAAACACGTAAAGGCAACACAACATTAAGACGTGAGCATGTGACATATGCAACCACTGGATTTTGAATTTAAAAAATRCACAACCAGGGATAGCTGGTACTGTATAAGTTGGCTACAAGGGCTAAGCCCTCCCTGGTGTTTACAATAAAACGTTAAAATGAAAAATACAAATTTTCAAAAYTGTATCACATTTTGTGAAATTTACAACAAAACTGATACCAAACACAGTCTGTCCAAAGTGATAACTTTTCACAGATCGTTTATTAATGATTGACAGACGTCTGGTCCCACCTCCTCGGTTTGCTGTTCATTGGGGCTAATTTTGCTATTTCCAGGGTCAGCCCAGGGGTACAGGCTTTAGCCAGTGAGGATGGATGTATAATAACGTGTCTCAAGTGCGAGTGGATGTGGGTGAGGTTTGGCGTAGACTGAGTATGATGGCAAGCAAGATTAACATAAACAAGGTGGATTATTTAATTTTTCACCTCTTTTACTTAATGTGTTTGGAGAATAAAGTGTGAGAGAAGAGGTTGAAGGCAGAAGAACTAAAATATTTCACCACCAAATAATATTACCACTGTGTACAACACACCTTTGACATACAGGACTCTATCAGTGCTGTTTAGTTACACTCCATGGCTTTTAATGGCACTGGCCTAATTTGTCAAAGCAAAACTTATCATCAACAGGCGATTGATGAATGGACACAGGCGGCCTGTCTTTGTGTCTGTGGCCATATTGCAAAACTGCTTTGCGAAAAAGGCCTAAAGTGTCACCATGATCAATAATTGGAGCAGCACCATCTTTTTTTATTAGTTTAAAAGCAAAACCCATCTGGTTTGGTCTTGAACTAATTTACTGATGTCCATCTTCAGAATGGGCTAATTCATACAAACTGTTTAAGATAGTGTCCGTGCCAAGATTCCTGACCTGTACTTCTACAGGCAGAAACTGTGATTAATTGGAGGACTGAACTTTGCTTCCCCTCCTGAGTGGATTTCAGTTGTAGATCTGATAGCCAACTTGGAGTCAGTCATCCAGAAGAACAACACCTTTAGAAAGCACTCTGAGCATCACCAACCTCCTTTGAGAGAAGATGGATTCACTGTATTGAACTTGGTATGTGCACTAATGCAATACCTTTAGAAGGAAGATGGGATAAACAGGAGAAATTCCACTAAGATAAAAAAAAAAGCAGGTGAACATTCCTAATCGCTGAAACCCCAAAAAAGTATTGATTGAGCACCAACAAAGTTAAACTTTTTCTGCAGCTAGTTTGAATTTGAAGCAGTCAGCAGCAGTTTTTTGAGGGATACTCTGTCAACAAGGTTAAAGATGCAAGCTGGAATCATTCCCGCTACGGGGGATAGACAKATGGTATCAACAGCTGGACAAGCTACCAAACCTCAGTGTAGGCTACAAACTCCTGATTGAATTTTAGATTGAATCTTTCTTAGCTGTTGATAAATGTATTGCATTGTATTGGATGTACATGCAATCATTATGTCATTCTAATGTCTTATTACTATTACAGATACATTTTTTTTACCAAAAGAGAAAATAATGAGAAAAAATGAATGTGTAAATTAGCCCCACTATGGATTCTAAATCCCTTTTAAAGGCATCCAAGCTTTTCCCTTTAGGCCTGACTTGTTTATGCACAACAACCCTACCAAAAACAGTCAAATGTATGCAATGATGGGCTAAATTGTTGCTCAACAGCATCGGTAAACTGTAATTTGGGGCTGGAAGGGCAGGAAAGAGGGAAAGAGGGGGAGGGGAGAGAAAGGGAAAGCGGAGCAAATGGCAACTTGTCAGTGCTGGATTAGCAATGTCTCTGTCACTCTGTCAGGAAGGCTAAGAGGAGCTAAGCTACTAATTTGTTCACACCAACTCAGAAACACACAATTATTCACACCCACTGTCACTTTCACACACAAATACACAAACATGCACACATARTTGTATACAGTTTCTGCTTATTTGTGTGTAAATGCGCGAGCGTGTGTGTGTGTGTGTGGTGACACCTAGAGGCATTCATACCAGCCGTAATAGCTTTCTATCAATTATTCAGTCATGCAATCAAATGCTTGGAGTTGCAGTGCTTTTAGCAATGGCACCAGCAATGTGCTTTTTCTATATCAGTCTCTCTTTTTTTTCCTCCCTGAGAGTGTGTGTKTCATTAATCTTGGCCCTTTACATTACACATTGCTCTAGGATTAGCATGCCTTATTCATAAAAAAATAATATTTAGAATTTAATCCTCATTCAGTCAGAATAAGCGTCTGTTCTGTATTTACATTAATCTTTGACCTTTATGGCCAAATAATGTCATAGGTGAACACTGTGTTTTGCTCAAATGCTAAGCGAAGGGATATATGTGTATGCAGGCAGCTATTCCGCATTCCCAGCAGGAAAAATAATGCTGGGTAAATAGACAGATCTTTCATTGTGTGAAATATAGTCACCTGATCAATGGTGCAAAAGGAGCAACTACATTCTCATTTTAAAAAACAAGGTGCAAAGTAAGGTTTTGCTTTTTTTGGCTGTTTTTATTTAAACCCCATTTTTTTCACACTTGGCAGTCAGACAAATGTCATCTCTAATCACTGAGTTGCTTCAGTCCAACTCAGCCTAAACACCACAAGCCATGAGCTTTCTTGTCAGACAGCACCCAACCATGCAAAGGAGACAAATTAAAACAAAAATCCAAGTTATTTACAGAGTTTAAACGGTGCTGAATCTCTTTCTGACGGTCAAAATAGAGTAGAAAACTCATGCATGATCCGTTTTTTTTTTTAAGTGGAAAGCACAGGATATCTGCAGAAAATCCACTGGGACTCGCTGTTTACATGGCTTTACAGTATTGGCCATGTTTTGGTGGGGGTTGAGAAGAAATCTTGGCTAAATTCAAACCAAATTTGGCCTCAAAGTTAAATTTGGCAGACATTTTAGTTTGAGATGTTGATTAGATATGATTATTGCTGCTCAATCTTGGGCTCAAAACTAGACCTTAACAATTTTCAGTAGATCAGGGATGGGCATCTGGCCTGTTGGTGACTTCCATTCAGCTTGTCATTAAAAAGGCACTCAAAGCAGGTCATAGAATCTGCTTTGAGTGCTTTAAAAAAATCAAATGTTTATTTTTGAGAGGTAGACTATCTGCTCACAGAAAACCAAAGCAAACCTATGTGTTTAATCTGTT